TACAATTAACCTTGGGTCAGGAGACTGTTAGCAACTACTTGATAAATGTAATCATAGAACATCAGATGGCATCTGGAAGAGAAAGAGACACCAGGAGACACAGAAGAAGCAGGATGGGCAGTATGTGACAGAACTAGATTAGTAGTAATTGGTTAATTTAAGCTATAAGAACTATTTAAAGTCAAGTGGCGGTGGTGCACACTTTTAATCCCAGCACTCGGGAGCCAGAGACAGGCAGATCTCTGTGAGTTCGAGACCAGCCTGTTCTACAAAACAAGTTCCAAGATAGTCTCCAAAGCTACAGAGAAACCCTGTCTTGAAAAACCAAAAAGAAAAATGAAAGAAAAAAAGAGCTAGTTAAAAACAAGCCTAAGCTAAGACCAAGCTTTCACAATTAATAAGAAGTCTCCATATCATTATTTAGGAGCTGGCTGGTGGGACAGAGAAAGACATACTACACATGGCTATTGCCACTGCTGTTGTTTATCCCCCGTCCCCAAACCTGACCTGATGGGGAAGTCCTGTGTATATGTCAATAAAGCACTGTTGGCCAATAGGGAAGAAAGACAGGTGGGACTAGGAGTCCAGGAGGACTCTGGGTAGGAGAAACACAAGGAGTCACGATGTAGCCACCATAGGGATAAGAAGTCCGGACCCTATTCTCCGGTAAGAGAAATACTTAGATGGAGTAAATACTTAAGTCAGAGATAGCCAGTAAGAAACAAGCAAATGGCCAACAGCTTCATGATTAATACAGTGGTCTGTGTGTTATTTGGGGACTACAACGTGGCAGAGCCCAGGCGACTGATGGGGAAAAACCAAAGCGCCTGGCCCATGTTGAGGACACCACACACATGACTCATAAAACATGGAAATCTAAAGCTGGCACTCACTTGGAAGCTTTATCTATACTGGCTACTTTTCATAGTGCTAGAAGGTGCACTGGCTTGGAAAGATATATCCACTGATGCTATAGCAGCACAAACATATGGGAATAACAAACCATTTTCTGATTAAGTACCACTCCACAAAAACGAAACCCATACCTTGCGCCATTATTAGGTCAAGGAATATGCAGGCCATGGACCCTAAGGGAAAACCCTAACGCTGTTATTTTGCTAAAAGTAGATGATAGCATTAAGCCAACTCCTTTGGACTTATTGTTATACCCATAAATCAATGCATTTGCTCAACCTTTTTCAGAGAGATTCATTCCTAGGTTGGTATGCAAAGAATAAGAACCTTCAGAATTCTCAACATCTACACCACACCTCTTTCTTCCAAGGCCCAGAGGTCATTGAAGAAGGGAGATCCTGCAGGGAACTGTCCTAGGCACTCTATGTATATGTTACAGTTGGGTAGTTTGGTCCTCTTGTGGGACTCTTAACATCAGGAGTAGGGGCTGTCTCTAACTCTTTGGCTATCTTTTGGGACCCTATTCCTCATGCTTTCCTATCCTTAATACTTGGGGAGGTGCTTAGTCTTACTGAAACTTGATATGCCATGTTTTGTTGATATTCAAGGAGACCTGCCCTTTCCTGAATGTAGGTTTTTAAAAAAGAAAAGAAAAAATGTTTTAAAGAAATGTCATGATAGAACTGTGGCAACAAGTAAGTAATTACGCTGATGTCTTTCTTCATTTGGTTCACTACTGGTCTGCTCAGAGGTACCTGTGAGTTACCTGTGACTTAACTGACCACAGTGACAGATACAGAAGCATTGTCTTTACCCATCTATCACTTACATCACATTGCTCATGTCTAGTAGATGGCATGAACTTATCTGCCATGGAAATTGTAGTGATTTACACCAAAAACCAGTCCAGCTCAAGAACCTGAAGTGTCAGTCAGTACTTTACATACAATAACCTGGAAAGTAGACTCAATGCATTTTTTATCTCTGAAAAAATAAACATTGTATCATGAAGATTATTTCCAATCTAGTCTTCTCTTCTTTACTATAGAATTGTTGTTTTCTGTCTGTTTAAAAGTCTCACAGTTTTGACTTTTATTTACTTTCACAAAAATGAAGGAAGTAGCCACCGAAAGATTTGATGGCATGAAACCATTATACAAATTGTTTTTCTCATAAACTTGGGGAAGAAACACATATTGATTGCTTTTACTTAAATGATGAGTTTTCATTTCATTCTGCTTTTTTCCAAAACAGAAAATGATATTTAAAGTAATCCTCCATAAATTGACCTTGTGATGTTGTGAAATTAGTCCATTTATCTTACTTATAAGGCACGGAAGTTGGGTAAATCTTCTATGCATAGGCAAATAACTCAGGAAAATATTACCCATTTCTGAAAATGTTCTGTTACTTAAGCCTGCACTGTCTGTCCTAATTGTGACTGGATTATACAATTATCTCATGGCTGCAGTCAGCTTAATTGAAAGGAATTACAGAAATTCAACTTAGCTTTAAATTGAGATCAATATTACTGAAATAGTGCAATTTAACCTTGGTGAAAATCTCCCTCTGGCAAAAGATCACAAAATAACATATTAATATATATATATATATGTGTGTGTGTGTGTGTGTGTGTGTGTGTGTGTGTGTGTGTCCCTCACTCCACATGTTTAAAATTAAAAATAAATTAGTAGTGATGCTTTCTGTAGGAGTATGATTTGGTTTGGTTTTTTGGCACATATTCTTACTATGTCACTTAGGTTAAACTCAAACATGTTTATCTACCACATATCTTCAACTCCAGAATGCTTGGCTCATAGGCATGGATCGACCTGGCAAGTCATACTTGCGTGAATTTAGTCCTTGTTTTCTTCTAGGGGAGGATGCAGAATCTCGGTCCTTGGGTATGCTAGGAAAGCATTCTGCCACTGAGATGCCTTGTTAGCCTTTGATTTCATACATAAATTTTCAAATAGAACTTGCTTCCAGAAGTGGTGACAGGGAGGTCATCATGTTAGGTGAAACACGGGGGACTTAGAAAGACAAGACATCACAGGCTCGCTCTGAGAATTAAAAAGACAAGGTCTGAAAAGCAGAAAGGACAAGACTTTGGGTAAAAAGGGGGATTCATGAGAGGGGAAGACAGACAAGGTAGAGGGCAATAGTGGATATGGATTCAATCAGAGCATTTTATAGACATGAATGAAATATATAATAAAGCTCATTATTCTTTACAATTAGTATATACTAATAAAAGCATGTATTCAAAAAAGAAAGCGTATAAAGAAAATACCTTGTTTGGAATATTTTAATCAGTCTTGAACTTAAAAACTGATTCCTGTGGGATTCTCACCAAGACCCAAGCCTCTCCAGTGTAGTTTACTGTCTATGGAAGAGATAGATCCAAGGTGCTCCTTCTGCATTATCTTCCAGTCACCCAGGAGGGCTGGGATGAGGTCCTGACTGCTGGCTTAAGTGTCTGTGCACTGAATAGCAATGGAGTACTTCTCGGGCACAAGGTCCTACTGCAGCTTACAAGCTGTGTTTCATCACACAACCTAAGCAAATTCACTTCCTGCACGAGCAGCAGCAGAGCATCTGAAAACTTAGATAGCTTTTGCATTACAGGCATGATCTTTTTGACACCTTTACTTAATACAGTTCATTCCTCTAGATTTGTTATCAAATTGCTATTTCCAATTGCACAAGTTCAAGTATGCCATCCAAAAATATTCTAAAACTTGAGGTCCTCAACTTTACATTTCAAACTGGTTCCTATTGCATTCTTAAACTGAAGAACAAAACCTCTTTGATTTCTACATTTTCTGAATATCTTAGTATCTTCTGAGGAAGGCATCACTACAAAAATTGCTGAAGTTGGAGACATTCTTAATTCGCCTGTTGAGATGGTGTATAACCTTGGACTTTCTAGCTGTCACGGAGAAGATTTGCTATACAGTATGCTGGAGGTCAAACCAAGATGGTCAATACAATAGCTAGGGAAATGACTACTTTTTACTCTTGACTGCCTCTGGAATTCTTCCCACTGTATTTCCTAAATATGTCACCACATATTTACATTGGCACATATTTATAAGAGCGGGAGACTAGAACTGTGTAATTTGCAACACGGGGAAGTGAGTTAAGAAACATATGAAGGAATAAAAATGTGGAAATAATTGCTAACACTGATCTGAAGTGACCACAACTTAGATAACATTTACTGAGTACTAAGTGCCAGGCATCACACTTGTAGGCAGCATCTCATTTAAATATATGATGCAAAGGAACAAGGATGGTGTCACTAACAAGAGGAAGATGGGCTGGAAATCACAGGCTTGGTTTATAAGGCAGATTTCTAAAAATGCACTTTGGATCGTAGGAAGTGCTCTCATGTGAGAGAACAGAACGGATGTCTATGTGACGGGTGTTTCCAGAAAGCTAAATCTACAGTCAGCCCCAGTAGTGGGTCTACCAAATGGACAGTGGGTATGGGGTAACTGAGAAGTCTGTCCCTCATCTGCTAACAGCGGGGACCTGTTTAAATCTTGCAAAATGCCTGCCTTCCAGGAAACAGTCACATTCCAAGGTCAGTGAAACAGATTTTGGTAAATCCTGGTAGGCTGATGAAGCCCCCGTTTACAGAGGGATCTGAACCACAAGTCTGGGAGGAAAAACAGAGCAGAACAGCAACAGCAAAGGTCAAATACCCTCTCAAGGTCACACGCAAGCAAAAGCAGTAAAGCTGTGTTACAGGACATAAACCACGGGAGTAGAAAGAAACTGAATAAACCTTGAATTCAGTACCTTACCTCCCTTCCTCCTTCCTTCGACCCCCAACTCCAGTTCTTTTTCAAGAAATGCCTACTTTGTGAAACTATGGGTAAACAGATCTCCTCCGGGGCCACATGGTAACTATTGGGACTATAAAGGCACTCCCAAGACTGTTACCTAAAAAGCCCCTGTGTACTCCGCATCTGACCCTCACTAGCCTGCCATAGAGGTTTTAAGGAGTCCATCCAAGGATGAAAAGTTAAGGGAAACAAGATCGTTTTCTTTAAGCTCTTCGCAGAAAGGTGGTTCGCGTCATTTCCAGATTCCACGAACAGATAATCTCCAAGGTATCTGTGGAGTTAAAGGGACGGGACTTTTTCCCTTCCCCTCTCTTCCCCAAGCATCAGTCCAAGGGGAGGGAGGGGATGAAAAGAGCCTGGGAGGTGGAAAAGTGGAAGAAGCTGGAAGAGTCTGGAGCTGAGGGGAGCCCCCGGGCGTGGGCCCTTGGGCGAGCTGGCGTCTGGAACCCGCCCTGGAGCTGCGCCCCAAGCTGCAGCGCGCAGTCAGCTCGCCGCCCAGGAGCAGCCTGGACGCTCCACTGTCGCTCTGGCACAATCGCGGCGGGTTGGGGACCAGAGACCCTAAGCTTCGCTAGGGTGAGTACGCGGAGCTGCCCCGGGCACCAGAGAGCGCGTGGCGGGCGGCGAGCTGCGGGCGGTGCGCGGGTGGGGAAGGTGGCAGGACCCCAGCCTGGCAAGCCCTAGGGTAGGGACTCGGGGGCAGGGGTGGTGGCGATGATGACGATTACTTCCCCCTGCTACTTTGGTGGAACGGCACAGAACTGAAGCTCTACCTTTCCCATCTGCCAGCAGCCTCTGCTTCCCTAGGGCTAACTTTGTGGAGCAAGCACCTTCCTGGGTGGAGCAGGTGGTCTCCAGTGAGTGGAGGGATCTGGTCCCAGATGCTGGGGAGAGGTGTGAGTTCCAGACGGTGACGCCAATACCCCTTTAGGTGCAGGCACAGAGAGAGCCTGTCAAGGATAGAGGCTAGGGTGTAGAGAAATCCAGCTAGAGGTCAGGAGTGTCATCGAATCCATGACTTGGACATATCTGGAGTCGAACAAACAGAAAACGATAAGATCTGTGTAGGAGTTCCGAAGGGCATAGACCAGAAATCATGGGTAGTTTTCCAACTTGACTTTCCGGGGGTGAGGATCAGTGAGGTAAGGCGCCAAGTAGACCCTCACCTAGCCTCCACAGAGTCCCCACCTGCTGTGGGGGAATGCCCAATAAAAGTTTGTTTACAGGCACCAATAGGCAAAGAAAAGGAGGGGGTGGCAGAACCTGCTTTGGGTGCTTGCATCCTAAAGGGGATGAAAGACCTGCAGCTGCATGCCAAAAGTTACAGAAGGAAATGGAGGTGATGAGGAGCGTGCAAACGCTCAGAGCCTGGCATTCCTGCTGCCTTCGGTACCGAATTTGGTTTGTTCACTGGGTAGGAACACAGCCAACATGCACTGCTTGCACTTGAGGGAAACAGTGAGATAGGAACTTAGTTTTTTCCTGCAGCTAAGTATCCCCTAAGGACCTCAGTGATTGTAATACAAGATGACGTGTGACCATTTAAGATGACCTAAGCAGGTAGCCTTTCCAGTCCTTTCTCTCGTTTTTCTGGAGTATCAAGGTAATTGTCATTTAACTGCACTACAGATGGTTAGTTCCCCAAACCAGTAATAGTAATAATAATAATAACAAATATTATTTATATTCCATTTACATATACATCTACAAACTTAGATTTGGTGATCAATAATGAAGTAATATTTACATTTTATTTGCCCTGTATGTGTGTTTATGGGGAGACAGACTGTACTTGGCTGTCTTCCACTGAAGGAATGGCAATTCAACACAGCTGAAGGAGACAGACGAAACAGTCCTTCTCTATGTCTTACAGTTACTTCTCCTCTATCTTCCCACTCTGTAAACTTAAGAGCAAATTTTAATACCATCTCTTCCTGTTTTCTCATAAGACAAAGCAGTTCTTGTCTCTGTCCATCCCATTCAAATCTGCTCAAGGTCAGTTCTGTGAGGAAAGTTGCTATTCATTGAGTTCATTCAATGGTGATCTACTCACCTTTGTGTAAAGTGTTCTTCAAAGAACTGAGATGTTTCAAGACAAATGTTGTACCTGTCTGCTATTAGTCAGGAGTTTCCAGATGTACCAAATAACTTTCTCGCTTTTACCAAATAAATTTTAGGAAATTTTCCCATGTGTCATTTATTAATATGTGTCATTTGTTCAAGCTTCATCCTCTGGGGCTTATTGCTGCATTAATGGCTGTGCTCTACTAAAATGTGTCCCAAGATCCAAGGAAAAGTGCAGTGTTTGCCCCTTGCCTCCTCAGACAGCCTCCATGCAGCACATTGAAAAGGCTCTTTCAGTTCTTTAAAATAAATAGAAACACTCGTCTGCATTTTAAAAAGTTCCTAATACTTATAAATACTATCACAGAAGTGCTGATTATAACAGCACATCTCTGTAAGGAGAGTATTTGTTTTCACTTGAATTTTGGTACAAGTAGCTTTCCATCTGCTTCCAAAATCATAACATATTCACTGAAAGGAAGAAGACATTCAAAGTTCTTCTCTCTTAAGGCTGTCCCCTTTGAGATGATTAACTACTACTGAAACAGTGTCAAGGATGCCTGAAGGACAGTTTCTGGTATATTGCTGCTAAATAGGCAATGTAAAACAAGATGGACATGATTTTTTTTTCATTCATTTTATGTGCATGAATGTCTGTTCCTAATGTGCGTGCAGTACCCACAGAAGCCAGAAGAGAGCGTTGGATCTCCAGGACTGGATTGATAGATGGTTATGAGTTGTTGTGTAGGTGTTGGGAATTGAACTTTAATTCCTCTGGAAGAGCAGCTAGTGCTCTTAACTGCTGAGCCATCTCTCCAGTCCCTGAACATACTGTTTCTAAATCCATGGCAGGATTTTCTTATTCATCATTAATTTTGCAAGTGGGAAGGATGCTTTTTGAGCAGAGAAAATGTGATGCAATGTCTGCTACCAGATCTTGTGATCCCTGAGGAGGTATCTGTAGTCATCCAACACAGACCCAGTTAGAACCTTAGTCCCTGTGCTATAACAGAAATGATCCATCCACTTGAAATCACAACAAGAAATTTTTCAGAGCTGAGAGAGGCACATAAGTAGGACTAAATGACACCTGAGTGTCTGAGAACTGAGACTGTATGAGTCTGATAACCTTCCCAGTTTCTTCATCATCTTTTCTTCTCTCTACTGTTAGTTGTGGCCTTTAAACACATAGTATAGAATTTTTCTTTGTTTCTGTGTATGTGGGAAGAAACAACGTTTCTTACAACAGGAAATGTTTTACTAAGATACCCTTACCTATGACACAAAGTTCATCTTTTGGAAGATACAATCTTCCAGGAGGTTGTCAGAAAGCAATAGAGATGTTTATCATAGTCTTTAACCTGATTACAACAGAAAGTAGTGAGATGTGTTGGGATTTTGGATGTATTTGGAGGTAAAAGAGGCAAGACTGGATGGATAGATGGTGTTGGTTATAGAAGGAGAGGAATCATAGTTCATGCCTAGATTTACAGGTGGAGCATCTGGGAGACTGCAGTTGTCACTGGGCAGCATGGGAGACCAACTGGCAAGGTTCCATGCATCTTATTAGACATCTGTACAGAGGCTTCATGGGGGTCACTGGGGCAGAGCTTGGGGGAAGAGAGCTGGAGATTAAAACGTGAGTCATCCATTCATAAATGAGATTCAAAACAATAAGATTTTATGAACAGTATCAGAAGACAACACATTTAGAGAATCAAACAATCTTGAACAGTCTAAACCATGAATACTGTAGATGGTAGGACCAAGGAGAGGAAGTTAAGGAGTGGTAATCAGAGAAGTCAGGAGAACTGCAGAAATATGTGGACCAGAAACACCAAAAGAAAAAAGGTCTGTCAGAAAGAAGAAAGCTGCCATGTTAACTATGTCCAGGCTATGGGAGCCTTCAGTGACGTGAAGACAACAAATTATTTTAAAATTTAAATGACCTTCAGGTTAGTCAGTTTCATATGACTATATCAAAATACCTGAGAAAATCAAAGTTCAGAGGTTTTAGTCCATGATAACCAGACACTGTTGCATTGGGCCTGTGATGGCACCACGCATCACTGAGGGCAGGAGCAGAGAGGGAAAGACATGAAGTAAAGACACACAGTTAATGACCAATTTCCTCTCTGCCCACCCCCTCAAGGTTGTGCCACCTCCCAATAGCCCAGAACAGACACACAAGATCAAAAACATATCACAGGGTCCTTTTTTAGTTCAAGCCTAACCTATAGAGAGCTAGAGATCAGCTAGGTACACAAGGAGACTAGCTTTGAAAAGAATCCTCACACTGTGGCACTCTTTATTTTCTTTCAATTTTTAGAATTTCACATGTGAGTACTGTATTTACATGAGCTCCATCCCTCTCTCTCCTCCGCCCACCTATAACAATATTCATATGTGCAATTTCAGTCAAAATGATAATGATGACTAAATATTGATTCATAACATTGAACAAATATTGTAAACCTAGTGGTTCCAACTCCTGGAACTTTGCTTTGGCACACAGTTATATTTAGGTAGATTAGTACATGTGCAAAGTTAAGCATGTGATTTTTAAAAAAAGGCAAATGTCTATAAATTTAAAAAACAAAATATACTATGGATATCAATTCAGTGAAAAACCTTCCAACTATTAAAATTATAAAGACAGCTCTCCATGTGTTAAAGTGAAAAGATCTTCCCAAGTTCATTCTACGTGAAAAAAAAGGTCAGGCCTTATGGTTTATCGCTGATTAACAAAGAAAAATAAGGTGCTATGTGAAAACTTGTCGAAAAATCAAGAGGCAACAGTGGGTACTTGTAGGAAGGGAAAGTTTGTGGTAGAGCATAACGAAAGATGAGGTTCTGGGAAAGGGGGTCTTTGCTTTACCCTGTTTGTTTTATTTTCAGTTCCGAGGAGTGAATATGTACAGGGGGTCTCGTGCTTGCTAGGCAACCATTCTGCCCCTGAGCAACACTTAATGCCTTTGAATTGTAGGCACATGGTTACCTATTCAAACCCCTAAATAAAATTTTGCACATATTTCTGAAGCATGTCATTTAAAATAATAAGAGGAAAGAAAAGATGTGGTGGTGAAAAATGAATACTATATATAGCACAAATCTTTGAGCAGTTTTCAAAAGGAAGATTAAAGGTAGCTGGAGGGAGCCATGGAGGTTTGGTTTCAAAATGGGAGCTGTTCATGCCAAAATTAAACTACAACAGAAAGAAAAACTGACTTCAAAAAAAACTAATGAAAAGGACAACTGGAGAGCAGATTCCTTTAGCAAGTAGTATGGGTAGCATTTCACGCATCTGGAAGAAAAAGAGCTACCATGGCTTGGAGCACTGAGAAAGGCACTTTGTAGAAACCTCCAGGCATAGACAGTGCTTTTGCCAGCATGTTACATGCCCAGGCTCACTGCTGTACAGGTCACTTGTATAAACTACTGTGGCCAAAGCTGCCTAAAATACCCACTTCTAATGTCATCCCTCCCTAAGCTGTTTCATCAAGGTTATTCTT